ACACACACACACACACACACACACACACACACACACACACATATACGCCAAACTAACACCTCTCCCACACACTTAAAATTTCCCCATATGTGTTGTATATGTGTTGTACAACACATGCACGTACATATATATATACAGATTTTTCGTGTCGTAGATAGCTCTCGTGGACACGCTCACGTCTTACGACATAATCCCTGACGTCATCATGGGCGTCTCCCTGGGAGAGCTCGGCAGCGCCTACGCAGACGGCTGCCTGAGCAGAGAGGAAGCTCTCGTCTCCTCCTACTGGCGAGAGAAGTGCGTGCAGGATATCAACCCACCGCGCGGCAAGATGGCGATCGTGGGTGAGGGACATCTATGTACATCAAGAGNATGAGTGTGATATAAAGAGTTTTATATGATGAGTGTGATATGATGAGTGTGATTAAAAAGTTTGATATGATGAGTGTGATATGATGAGTGTGATATGATGAGTGTGATATGATGAGTGTGATATGAAGAGTGTGATATTATGAGTATGATATTATGATGAGTGTGATATGATGAGTGTGATATGATGAGTGTGATATGATGAGTGTGATATGATGAGTGTGATATGATGAGTGTGATATGAAGAGTGTGATATTATGAGGATGATATTATGATGAGTGTGATATGATGAGTGGATATGAAGAGTGTGATATGATGAGTGTGATATGATAAGTGTGATCGATATGATGAGTGTGATATGATGAGCGTGATATGATGAGTGTGATATGATGAGTGTGATATGATAAGTGTGATATGATGAGTGTGATATGATGAGTGTGATATGATGAGTATGATATTATGAGTGTGATATGAAGAGTGTGATATGATGAGTGTGATATGATGAGTGTGATATGATGAGTGTGATATGATGAGTGTGATATGATGAGTGTGATATGAAGAGTGTGATATGAAGAGTGTGATATTATGAGTATGATATTATGAGTGTGATATGATGAATGTGATCTCACACCCACACACACACACACACACACACACACACACACACACACACACACACTACACACACACACACACACACACACACACAC